GTACTTTGGTTGTAGCAAAGAAATTTGGAAAGCGATTGCAAATGTCCATTAAAAGTGACGAATTTATCCAGGATATCAAATTACGTCTACTCAATAATGTAATTAGTGCTGGTAATTTCCTGGACATACTACAGAATTTATAAATTAGGTAATAATATTATTTATAATAAGGAAGTTTAATTTTAGTTAAATGCTGCAAATTTTAGCTGTAATGGTAACGGTAACACAACACAGTAATACCTACGTATTATAAAAAAAATATTAATTATTAAAGTATACGAGCGAGTTGAACTGTATTTGAAGTAAGAAGTCTGAAGAACAAAAAAAAGTGAATTCCGAGTATCCACTCCGTCTGGCGTGGATAGATGAACATGCGTTTCCGAGTATCCATCCTAGGGTGGATAAACGAAATAACCCTTTTTTTTATTAAGAAGAATAGTTAATTAGCTAAAGAAAAAGGAACTAATTTTATTATTATTATTATAGTAATAATCTTTATTTGCGTAAAACATGGTATAAATGTTGTTAACATATAAAAACGAGTGCTCATGTTTTGCTAATTTACATAGAATGCAAATTGTATTTTTAAACAATGTCAAATATTTCCTTACCCATTTGACATACAATTAGTCATCTGATTTAGTTATTAATAAAATATAGAGATATAATATTATAACAATTATAGTTAAAACCTATACAACTACCTAAACAAAAACCTAAACAATTCCGAGCATCGTCAATGTCAACTAGGTCGGAAAGACTGAGTCCACTCACACCTTAAAAGATATTTAGGTTCAGGTTGGTACCTACATACTTGGCAGCGTTCTGTCCTTAGAACATATATCGGCGTATTTTTATAATACCGGTATTGTTTTGATATGTAATCTTCAAATACCGGCTAACCGGTAATTCGATAAGTTTTCAATATTTTTAAAAATAATTATTTTGGGAAAGATGGATATTTTAAATATACATGCTTCATTTGAACCAAATTTACAAATTTATTCTTATCGAATAGGAATAAAATTTAAGCAAGGAATTAGCTGGCCGTATTAGGAAGTTCAAACTCAAAGTCGCTCAGCGAGCTATGGAGAGGGCTATGCTCGGGGTTTCTCTGCGTGATAAACTTAGAAATGAGGATACCCGCCGTAGAACCAGAGTGAACGACATAGCCCAACGGATTAGTAAGCTGAAGTGGCAAAGGGCCGGCCATTATAGCTCGAAGAACCGATAACCGATGTAGAATAAAAGTTCTCGAGTGGCGGCTTTGTACCGGTGGCCTTACAGTGCGTCCCCCCACTAGACGGAGTGACGATCTGGTTAGACATGCAACAGGTTTTGTGGCATTCCTTGGGAGAGGCCTATGTTCAGCAGTGGACTTGTGAAGGGCTGTAATGATGATGACGATGATGAGGGAATTAGACCTCATTTGTCATCACTTCTTACAGATTTGACATTAATAAAGGTTACGATATTAAGTGATAAGATTGAGCTTCTTGCAATAATGGTCGCTAAAAGCAGTAGAAACATCCAAAATATTATATTTAAAAGACGATTTGGCTTGTAGTTGTAGATTAGGACTTACACTATTACTATCACCATCATTTTTCTTTTTAGTAATCGATAACATTGAATTTATGTCGATTAGATATGCGGATTTTAAATGGATACTTAGGTCTTATTAAATTGTCCTCCAGATCGAATGTCGGTCACGGCGGCCAGTCTCAACAGACTAGCCATATGCGTGGGACAGGGTTATAGTGCCCGAGTGTATGCGGAAAAACAGATGCACTCTCAATTCCTCCTTTCTCATAGTTCGATGGGACGGTTATCCGACGTGACCGGAGAAAGATCAGGCGCAGGACCAACGGCCTTACGTGATTTCCAAAGCACGAAGGTTAAACACCGCCAACTTCCTGGATACGGGCTGAGGGCCTGAGAATTTATTGACAGAAAAACCTAATGACTGATTTTGGCCTAACCTGGGATTCGAACCCTCGACCTCATGATCAGCAAACACTTTTATGACCACTAGACTAACGAGGTGTTTAGATTAAGGATTGGTTTCCGCAGCGCAGCGAAGTAGCAATTTTAGTTCCATCCTGTATTACAATGTCCTGAGAGCAGACGCTTAATCCAAAGGACTCCATTCAATAATAAATGATACCAAATATTATCAAAATATAATCATTTATTTTTTATTTTCAATAGGTAACAATTAACATTAAAACAGCTATGTATAATACCATATTATGTTCACATTCTTGTAAGTAAATTGAATAAGTCATAACTGGTTTGTATTACATTACAATAAAAATACGTGCAGATATTTAAATATTACAAAAAAAAATTTTTTAATAAGTACAGTTTGGTAACAAAATATTTATATCGGTTTTGTAGTATCAATTTTGGAACATTAAGTAGGTAGTTAAAATCTTCCAAAATGTATACAAATTTACAAAATGTAGCGATGAAACTATTTACACTTAAACGTATGTGCCGCTATTAACAGCTCCTTTTCTTTAAATTACTTAAATAATTATTACTTACTTACTTACTTATCTTCACGCACAATCCCTGACGGGGTAGCCAGGGAGAACAGATCGCCAAGTGTCACGATCCTTACATACCTCTTTCGCTTCTTTCAGATTCATTATCTTCTTCATACATGCACGTCTAGGTATCCGAGTACTCTTGACTCTCCCCTCTTCGAGCAATTTGCTCACATGGTCTTCGAAAGTTAGTCTCGGTCTACCTCGACACCTTTTAATATTAACTTTCGCGCTATATATTTTCTTCACCATTTGGTTTTCACTCATTCGCTCCACGTGCCCAAACCATCGAAGCACGCCCTTATCAATTTTTGTGATAAGGTCATTTTTCAAACCTGCCATATTGCGAATCTCTTCGTTTCGCTTTCGGTCGGCCATGGTAACGCCGCACATTTTACGAAGAGATCGCATCTCCATTGCATTCAACTTGCTTTTATGCTTCTTCTGGCATACCCAGGTTTCGCTGCCATATAACAAAGTCGGTACAAACACCGACGTTATGTATTGCAAGGCGTGCACTCTTCACTACGCCTTGTCTTTTGACTAACGCAGTCAGGGCACCATTGACTTTGTTCCCGGCAGCGACACGTCTGTCCACATCTAAATCACATCTTCCATTCCGGCTAAAAGCACTCCCCAAGTATACAATTTCATTTACCTGTTCTAGACATTCCTGATTTACCCATATTTCACACTTCGTTCTCTCTTCGTCCTTTCAAATACAAAAACATTTCAATAAAACTTGACGACTACTTTCATATAATTCATCATCACAAGTGATTATTGTCGACTTATTTTTATTTCTTAGTTTTTACCCGACTACCCCAACTGTTCCTATAAGACCTTCTGTAACTTAAAACGGCTTTACGGATTTTGAAATGCGAGGTAACGTTCTCGTTTCCGTCTATATATCTATAATATCAAAGGTCCATTTTTTATATCAAATATGGACTTTTTTGAGCCATTTACCTGTAATAATATTTTTTTAATAAAGAAAATATATTAAAGGAATATTAATTTATGCTGTTTTGAGCGTTTATTAACAGATTTTATCAAAATAATATAGTAGTTTCGCCTAATTGTCAAATAATAGTTTTTGGACCTCTAACATAGCAGGAATAATAATTTCACGTGAAATGGAAAACTGATCAAGCATTAAGACCTTACTAATTGTAGTAAATTCTAATTATATGATGTAGAAATTTATTACCAAAGCATATTCAGCACTGGAGTAAGAAACGCTGTTAAAGAAAAAGGATCAGTTTTTAATATTGTTTGAAAGCAAGTTTATATTTTTCAATTTTAATGTAAAAAATAAACACGATTTTGTATATCTGTATATCTAATAAACAATGAATATTAAAATTTTCTTAATGTGGAAATGTGAATAAAATTAACTAAACGTGACTAGAAAAATACATAGTATATACTAAAATATATTTTTAATATTTTTATGAGCATGCAACATGCATACTCAGTCTAAGGCTAGTAATACATTCAATTAATTTTGCTTCATAAATATATCGATAACCCAAAATTTAGGTGTTTGTTATGACACAGATTAAAGTTATGTGTTATTAAAATTAGATGGACTAACTTTGTTCGGCACATCAGTTTTATTTAAAAACTATTATAATATCTACAATGATTCCTAATTCACAAGTTTTCCCTTTTATTTAAACCATGTACTTATCAAACTATAAAATCATTTCTAGAAATAAACCTAAAGGAGAATAAGAGAGAATTAAAAATTACTTCACAATCACTGCGGAGAGCAGCCATTTAATAGAGGTTTTTACTCGTATAATATTCTCTAGTACCTATATATAATAATCTATCTATCTAGTAATCTATGCGTAATATTTTAAAGAAAAATATAGTAGACTTTTCATATCCGATAGCCTCTTAGAGTATAGGTACATGTAAGCTACTTATGTCACTATTTATTCTGTGCTTATGTTTTACTCTAAGCCTTAGAGTCTAAGGTATCAGAACCTGCTAGCAAGTGAGCAAATTCAATTTTATCGTTGGCAACACCCAGGATATTTTTCGTTTGATATTCTACGATCCGTAATTAAATACGAATGTAAATTACCTATATGATATAATTTTTAATACGTATAAAGTGTTACGTATGTACATATGCCTATTAATTAAAAAATAATATTATATCTACATACTAACTGCTACTTATAACGTGGCAGTTGGTAAACTTTTATATCGCGACCAATATTTTGCCAACAAAAATGTTGTAACTAACGGTTAGACGGGGCTCTAACAAGGATAAGGTTAATATGTTAGCTAAAACGATTGAAAATTATTTTTTTGTGCGGAATACTGGTAGGCCTACGACGCAAGAATTAAATTTGATATTTTTTAATACTTTAAATTTGAAGGCACTACAATTAAAATATTATTTTTCATTAGGCAAAATATTAATTTTATGTTTCATAGTCTAGTCGAGAATACTCTTTGTAATCTGGCAATACCAGCGCTCAAATGTCTCGTTCTGCTGTTATCCGAAATGAGTCTTGCGCAATAATCTGGTGCTAGTGTTGCCACTATGACGAGGAGGTTCAGGAATCCAAATGCCGGCGAAGTTAGAAGCCTTGTGTACGTACCAAGTACATCGCCGTCGATTTGTCTGTAAATTTGTAAAAACTGACGGATTAATTTGTAGGTTACTGGCATTATTTCAAATCCCTTCTTCTACTTTAGCAGTCGCTTTTTGCAGATATCTCAAGAAACAGTCTGATATAAAAGTCTAGAATCTTATTTTACCTAATCTTAGTGTACGACTGACTTGACTTCGTTACAGCAAGTTTGCCATAAATAAATAAAGAAAAGGTCATAATTCATAAGCCTTTCCAGTAATGTGCCCGTTTAGCCAAGCACGTTATTGACATTACTGGAGACTTTTGCTTTTCCATAAAATCAATACATAATATATATAGGGTTTAGGGTAGTTTAAACAAAATTCATTGCATAAAGAACTATAGAGATATTGTAATAGTTATGCCTTATGGCATTGCCTACAAGGCCTACAGCCAAAAATACATACGCTGTAATAGCTACAAACCAAAAATGTTAACAAATGTCTTTAACATACGTTAATGCCTCAAATTGCGATGCTTTCGTGGGAATTTCACGGCAGCTTAAGCTATCAGATATGCGATGATGGTAGTGTCTCAAGGCGTCTAGGCAAGTAAGCTTACTTGTGATATTATATGTACATTTCTATCAGAATCAGATCAGATATTTATTAGTACTAATAGCTCAATTACACAGACATTTCATGGACAAAATCGCACCACTTTGATGTATCAAAAACAACTTCAAACCCAAGTAATGATTTGAAGTTGTTTTTCAACGTCAATACGGGAGTAGCAATCCACCAGAGCAAAGCTCCCGCCCCACCTCCTTATAATAAGTAAAGAAATCTGCATTTAATTAATAAAATCTTAACCATACGAAACTGAAGTTAAAAAGTCGTCAAATCTAGTCTTTTCTACCGACTTCAAAAAGGCGGAAGTATTCAATTCGACTGTATGTTTTTTTATGTGCGTTATCTCATAACTTTTTTCTTGGTGAACCGATTTCGATGATTCTTTTTTTATTTGAAAGCTAGTGCTTCTCATGTGGACCAGATGAGAATTTGATCAAGGTCTGACCAGTAGTTTTTGAGTTATCCTTGATAACTTTTATTGAAGTCGGTTGTACAACATTTTTAATTTTACCACTTGTTTGGTACATGTTTTATATAAAATAATACAATAATTAGTGTAACACAAAATTCGTAGGTTACTCCAAGGAGCTCTACTACGCCGTCTTCAATTTAATTTGCTTGCATTGAGATAATCGTTTTTATTTTGAGTAGGTACTTACAAGTAGACTATTGAGTAGGCTGTGTTAAAAATGATGTAGCTTAAGAGGGAGAGCACGACGGATATGACGAACATGACGGTGTGGTAGCGTGCCTGAAGCCACAGCTTCAGGCTGACGATCACCATCATTAAGTGAAACAGAACAGCACCGAAACACCTGGAATATGGTTAGTTGATTAACTAGAACGTGAATATTTTATTAAATTAAAAAAAATGCATTTTATTTGGTTTCATGTTAACTCATTTTTATTTCCGACGTTTCGTGTGATTTATAATTACCGCATCCACATTAGCGCATTAAAAATATTGTATTAAAATAAAAGCAATTTTATTATAATTATTTCTTATATTTACGCGTACACTACGCATTGAATGAAACTAATTTTTACGAATTCTATCGCGTTTAATGTAATTTTTTAATTCTCGACGTTTCGGGTGCTTTACAATACACATGGTCAATAATTAATAATCACATAACGCAGTGTTGGTACCGACTTTGTTATACGGCAGCGAAACCTGGATATGCCAGAAGAAGCATAAAAGTAAGTTGAATGCAATGGAGATGCGATCTCTTCGTAAAATGTGCGGCGTTACTATGGCCGACCGAAAGCGGAACGAAGAGATTCGCAATATGGCAGGTTTGAAAGATGACCTTATCACAAAAATTGATAAGGGCGTGCTTCGGTGGTTTGGGCACGTTGAGCGAATGAGTGAAGACCGAATGGCGAAGAAAATATATAGCGCGAAAGTTAATATTAAAAGGTGTCGAGGTAGACCGAGACTAACTTTCGAAGACCATGTGAGCAAATTGCTCGAAGAGGGTAGGGTCAAGAGTACTCGGATACCTAGACGTGCATGCATGAAGAAGATAATGAATCTGAAAGAAGCGAAAGAGGTATGTAAGGATCGTGACACTTGGCGATCTGTTCTCTCTGGCTACCCCGTCAGGGATTGTGCGTGAAGATAAGTAAGTAAGTAAGTAAGTATGGACATCGGGAATTAAAAAGTTAAACTAAACGCGATAGAATCCGTAAAAATTAGTTTCATTCAATTTTATTATGTTTAGTTTAAAAGTATTTATGTGTTTTTCTTCACGTATTAGTGTGGTAAAAATAATATACAGAATGTAATGAGAGCTGATTGTGAACTAGTTTTAATGATTCTTTTTTTATTAAATAAATATACTTCAAGGGTGGTCCCATGTAAAATTGGAGAAAAAATTCCACCTCCAAGGATACCAAATAAATAACTTCTTTTTTAGCTTTTGTTAAAAGTGATAATTATTTGATATGTAGTATTCGCGTAAATATAAGAAATCAAAATTTTATAAATATTATTAAGAAACCAAGTCATGGGTCTTCACTGCATCCAGTCGAGTAAAGTCAACGATGTTCAGCAAGCCATGGCGAGGGCTATGTTTAAAGACCTCTGCGTAGAAGAATCCTAAGATATCTGTAATAGAACAAAAATTTCTGACATAGCCTAAGGGATCGGTAAACTTAAGTGGAAATGCGATGGCCATATCTTCAACTGATGGGAAAAATAGCTAACATAAGTAAAGGTAGGTAGCACGTAAGATGGTAGCGTCTTATCACCTGCTCTTTTTACATGGTAGAGCCATGATGCTGCTATATTACTGGTATAGTTGTAGCACGGAAGGGGTCGGCTCGACCGGGGAAGGCACACGCACTTACAGTATAATAGCTTAAAATAGCAGCTTGACGCTGCTGTGTTTCGTATGGTGAGTGTAGAGAAACGGACACCTGTTTTACTGGAAACGAGGCATTCCATCTTAGTCCTCACGGGTGACAACGCGTCTGCATTTTGATTCGTCATCAGGGATAGATGTAGATGTCTATGGCCCACAGCAGCCACTTAACATCAGGTGGACTGTGTGCTCGTTTGTAATCCTTATCCTATAAAAAACTATTTACATACATTAAGATCAAGATCCCTTACCATAGGTCAACTGTCTTCGCATCGGTGCTGATCACAGATGTCTTGAACATCATGTAAGAGAAGCCGTAGATGACCAAAGAATGATACACCGCCGTCAGGATCCACGCCAAAAAGTTCCACCACGACATCAACTTGTTCTTTCTGTTCACTCTGTACAGGGTCGGATTTCTAAAACATATCGAATCATAATCTTGATATCATATTATCAAAACCACTACCAGTTTCGCAGTCCTGTCCTGTACAATCGTATTTTTTTAATTTATTTCAACACTTTTACATTCAGTAAGTAACCATGTTATAACGCTAGTGTACGACTATTTCTATACGAAACCTGATATAATATTTTTTAATAAAAAATTTTAAAATTTAAAAAAAAATTACTCGTAGTAAATAAGGCCCAAATTGAATGTCATTTATGGGCAACAACGTTTTTGCCTGTATTGTAGAGGCGTAGTAAAATAGTAGACGTTAGATATTTATGAATGACAATCAGTTAAAATTCATTACAACTCATTCTGAATTTAAAAGATAAAAAGGACAGAATGTTTGAGTTTTTTTTAATTAATCTTTTTTCACCATTTGCCTATACTACTTATTCTGAACCTTCTCTGCAAATTTGGCTCGTTATTGCAAAATAACCCTGTATATTGTGTGTTAGTGTGTGTGTGTGTGTGTGTGTGTGTGTGTGTGTGTGTGTGTGTGTGTGTGTGTGTGTGTGTGTGTGTGTGTGTGCGTGCGTGCGTGCGTGCGTGCGTGCGTGCGTGCGTGCGTGCGTGCGTGCGTGCGTGCGTACGTGCGTGCGTGCGTGCGTGCGTGTGTGTGTGTGTGTGTCTGTCTGTTTGTGCATGTGAATTTGCATGTGGGTGCGCTAGTACGTATGTGAGCGTGTGTGCGTGTGCTATTACGTATGTGTTCGCATGTGCGTGTGCATGTGCATCTAACCGTGCAATTGCAGGTGAATGTGCGAAAAAAGAACTCCCTGATAACATCACAAATAATAAAAAACTGCGGTTACCAAACCGTCAGTCAAGTGGCAACTGTAACAATTGAAGCAAACTATACGGACTATAGATAGATTGTGTTGGTACTGACTTGCTGAGCAGGCGCGCGGGCCAGCGCTGGTCGGTGACGGCGAGCGCGAGGCACGGCACTGACGTGAACAGCAGATTGTACAGCGTCAGGTACATCGAGTCGAACACCGACTGCGTCGAGAACGCCGTGTGAACTTGGAAAAACAGCTGCAAATCGTTGCCTCACTTAATCAAAAAGAGTTTAAAAAATAAAAACATATGGATTGTGATAATATATTTTTTTATAGGATGAGGGTGACAAACGAGCACACAGTCCACCTGATGGTAAGTGGTTGCTGCGGCCCATAGACATCTACATCTATCCTCGTTCGCGAATCAAAATGCAGATGCGTTGTCACCCGTGAGGACTAAGATGGAATGCCTCATTTCCAATAAAAAGGGCCTCCGGCCACCTGCACTCACCAATAATAACAAATAATATCTAATAATAATGGGCTCCAGATCGAATTTCAATTCAACGTAGACTAGCCATTCGCTCAGGACAGATTATAGTCAGCAGTTATAGTGCCTGAGTGTATATAATACACGTGCACTTTCTATTCCCTCACTCTCATAGTACATAGTACAAATTGAATAAAAAATATTCTATTCTATTCTATTCTATTCTAATGGGACGGCATTCCAACACGACCGGAGAGAGATCACCTTAGATCACCATCACTCATTTTTATGCTGTCCATATCTTTTCTTGGTTATTTTTGCTTTGGGTAGAGTAAGGAACACATTACGGTAGAGTTAAAAATTAAATAAGAAAAATATTATCGGTTAAGTTTGGGTAACCGTATATACCGATTAACTCTGACTTGTATACGTTTTGATCCACTTTTTTACCTACATACAAGTTGAGCTAAAAACACGTTAAAAGAAAAGCATAATTCACCATTAAATTCCCGAGGACTAGATTCTTGTAGAAGAAATAATGAATGAGGGTGGCGAGTCGCTGGTAGTACCAATGTCCCATCACTAGCAGCATCTTCTTTACCATCGAGAACTTCGTGAACGCAAAGTCCGCTGACCTACGAAATTATAACGATTTGATTTAATTGCGTGACTGAATCAAACTTTTGACAGACAATATGTAAGTGTTACGGTATACCTTAACAAATTTTGTCTCATAAATGTGTAAGACAAAATAAATTAAGGTAACATAATATATTATATATAGGAGCATGTAAATATAATGCTAGATAGTTATGAGTACATTTTTTTGTGTATAAGATCCTCAACTTCTGATTTTATTTTTTAAATTTTTATTTTCTCTAAGGCTCTGGTCATCACACAAAATCCACTTTCACTAATCACCTATTTGGCATTACTTACGACGTAAAAATACATTTTAGAGTTATGCGGAAATAAAAATTTTCTTTCTTTCTTTCTTAGAAGCCTTAATGACTTCTAAGATCTGGGGGCACGGTGGCACGGCCGTACATGCCATCCTTTTCTCGAAGCAGTTCAGGCCGAAACCCTATAACTTCGTTGTGGATAAAACTAGAAGCCTAAATTTTCAGTAACCAAGTAGTCATTGTATAATCTCGATATGTTATTATATATGTATATATATATATATATATATATATATATATATATATATATATATATATATATATATATATATATATATATATATAACTATCTACATAAAGAAATGAGATGCCATCAAAAACATAACTTGTAAAAAAACCAAGTCTCGCAACTCAGTTCTTCTACCGTAAAAAGTTGTGCGATCCATGTAATACCAAATCCGTTAATTTATTCAGTCCCTACTTAAGGATCCTTCTGTCTTAAGTTATTACGTAATTAGCTAACCTAACAACATCTTATAGTGACCATATCAATATTAAAAATCTTTTATGTTTTAAATAAATAATTTTTCCTGGCAATTTACACTTCAAAAACCCCTCTTTTTGAAGTTTGTGACGTTATTATTCGAGCGTAAAAGTAATCAAATTAATTAGTCATCTATCGTAAAGTCTGGGGGCATCGCATTTTAAGGGGCCTCGCGAGGCTCCTTTAAGTGCAAGGCCGTGGGCGAGGGCCACTTTGCCTACGCCTAGCTACGCCACTGTGTCGTCCTTCAAACTAACTTGTCAGACTTTGTGCCAATTTCTTAGGCGCGGCTTACATTTTGAGAAGTGACAAGTGCCATTGAGATTGACAAGTAAACACTGTCAAGTGACTTCTAGTAAGTATGTAGTTGTTCACACATGTGGCAAGTGACTATGCAGTAAAGTCATTACTATGTGGAATTTCGAACGGCACGGTATTTCTCATATATCTCATAACTCCGCCTACAAGTTCGTGAAGTAATCAGAGAAGTCATAAACCATTATTATGATGATAGCATAGCTGCGTTTCGCATCATTTTATTTTTAAAATTCGGTGATTTAATATTAAATAAATAATCGTATTCAGTAATTCCTGGACATGTTATCTTTCTCTGACCACTTCACCATTGTTAAAACAATAGTGCAAATCAAAATCAACTATTAAAACGCAAACTAAAATTATTCACCAATACGTGTGTGTCGTGACTCGTGACCCGTGACGTGTTAGAGTAGGGACGGTGGGCGAGCAAGGGGTAGCAAATGTAGCGCGGGGCAGAGATACTTATCAGAGAATAGAGCAGGATGCTATTGACCTGTTACTTTTCATTTCCCACTTATCACTTGTCACTGCCTGTTTACGCGCACTAAGCACTTGTCAGTTGCACTTGCCACTCGCACTTGTCACTTGTCAAAATGTACACCGAGCCTTAGGGGCTAGGGGTTTGGCCATACTCATTTAAAAGTAAATAGTTAAAGTAACAGTGGGTATTATAATAAAACTGTACCTAGCAGCTTGATGTCCCTCTTTGCCGAATATTCCGAAACCAACGTGCGCCTCTTGGATCATAGAAATATCGTTGGCTCCATCGCCTATCGCCGCTGTGATGGGGCGCTCTGGACTATTTTTGATTAATTTAACTATCTGTAAACAACATCAAATCATAAAGAAATGCAATAATATCCCCCAGACGAAATTTCGCTCACGGCGGTCAGTTTCAATAGGATTATAGTGCATAAGCTTATGTACAAGTACAGGCATACTTTCTAATCACTCACTCTCAAGTCCATTGGGATTAAAAACCCAATAACTGTTTTTATCCGACCCGGAATTAGAACCCGGACCGAACCCTGGGATTCCACAAGATTAGTAGTAGTGCTTACGACATCTACGCCAACGAGGCAGTCAATAAATGCAATGAAAAGACGTCGACTTAGCGATCTTAAACTCTTTATAAGCTAATTCACGGCCTCCTACTATCACCAGCACTGTTAAAACAAATAAGTATCAGAGTTCCAAGATCTATACCAAGACATAAACCACAGAACAAAATTAGGTAAACGAGCCCCAATAAATAGGTTAATGCAAACGTATAACGGATATAACGTAATACGGATAACGTTTCAGAACTTTCTAGATTATGTAATAAGTATTTATAACTCTTTCGCTCTTCTTCAAGTTCATCATTAGTTTTATTGTAAGCAAATTACTTGTAATTAATAATATTGGTCTAGTTAAGTAAGTTAAAATTGTCTTATTGTAGCTGCACTATTTTTGCGAATGTTGTGTATACCTTTAAAGGCAAATCATTTTGAACAAGACCAATTGTGTTATATTTAACAATGTCTAGTGATAATCCAATGGTGTATCTGTTAAAATAAAAATAAAAATGTTAAGCAACGACCAGAGATAGCTGTTAGGCCCAGTTAAGAAGTATGGAAAAGATGCAGAAGTGTGCTTTACCATCTTTGGCTATAATACAACTTACTCGTCAGATGGGATACTGGAAAAGCACTGGCTTAGTTAAAAAAGAAGGACTAGTAGTTTACCTTAGCTTTCTGTATAGGTGACAGTCGGCAACATAGCACAGCGTTACATTTTAGCGATATGTCAACGAAGGCAGGTGCGGCTGGTGAGTCCAGTATACAGCTCATACTTGTGCCGTCGACTATCAATGTGAGATCCCTGTAGCTTGGCTCCAGTATTGTCCGTTGGCACTCTTCAAGGTGCGCTTGTAGCGCTATGTCATCTTGTACGCCGATGAGGAACATTCTTTTGTCGTTCTCTGATATGTGGCTGCAGGATTGTGCTACGTTTATTGCTGTTTCTACCTAAAAACAGAAAGAGATTTTGAATTTATTTGAATTTATTTGTAAAATTTAATGAAGAAGTTGTCATCGGGATCGTTGACCGTGGAAGAAGCACCATCAGTTCAATTCAATTCAATTGATTTGCTATTCTTGTTGTGTATAAAAAAACGACATCTTGTGTGGAGAACAAAAAGGATTTCGCAAAAATAAAAAAATATGGCACTGTATGATTTTTATAAAAATATAATAACACACGTTGACAACAGAATACTGGTGTCTTCACTGTACTGTGATATGACTCAGGCTTTTGACTATGTTGACCATAACATTTTAATTCACAAACTCGAGGCATATGGCATTAGAGGCAATGTATTGAGTTTGTTCCAGTCTTATCTAAATAACCGTCGTCAAAAAACGGAAATATTATGTAGGGTAAATCTAAGGACCAAAGCTGAGAACATAAGCTCATAGACAGAGCGTTTGGTAAAATACGGTGTACTACAGGGCAGTGTCTTAGGGCCTCTCTTATTTATAGTATATATAAATGACTTACCAAATGCCACTAAGCAACTTATAACCTTATTCGCTGATGATAGTACTATAACTATAAACTGTGATGACATCTTTTTTTATAAAAATGACATAAATAAATAATCAATATCAATAATAACATGATTAAATAATCATAATTTGAAAATTAACCTAAATAAAACACACATTATGCATTTTAGCCAAAGACCAATCACCCCATCTAACATTGAAGTAAATTACAATGACACTGTTATTGCTGAAGTAGATACAACCCGATTTCTCGGTTTACAAATTGACCAAAACTAAATTGGAAAGCCCATATACTAGAACTAAATATCAAAAAAATAAGTAGTTTGGCTTATGCACTGTTTAGACTTTTTTCTACCGTTAATATTGACGCACTTCTGACAGTTTATTATGAACTAGTCGAATCTGTCCTTAGATACGGAATTATTTTATGGAGTAACTCAACTGACAGAGAAGTAGCGTCTAAAAGTCAGAAAAGATTTATCCACGCTATGTTTTTTCTTCAGACTACCGATAGTTGTTTGCCATATTTTATTAAACAGAATTCTTACACTTCCGTCCTTATATATAATGAAGATGGCTCTTTTTGTCAGGGCCAATCCTAACATATTTCCACGGTTATCTGACAAAGTAAAGCGCAACAGTCGTGATGGAAGTAAATTTTGCAACAAGCAAGAACGGCTCTGTTAAGAAAGAATGTAGTATGCATGGCTCCTAAAATCTATTATAAAATACCTCAGATATATAAATCACTGAACAGCAATCTTTTTAAAAATAAATTCAAAAACCTTTTAATTGAAAATGCTACTACACTGTAAGTGACTTTCTCAATGATAAAGTTTGACATTATATAATTGCCTTATCCATACATATATTTTTAATTATGGTTGTTGTAAGTAATAATTTCACTGAATTTGTATATATTGTTAAATGAAAACTAACAACCTATCACTTTAAATTTTACACACCGAATATCGGTAAGACATGTTGATACTAATAACACTAACACCAAGAATATATCTCTGCCCATGCAATGTATATATCACACATGTTTTAGTAAATAAAATATCTTATCTTATCTTATCTTACCATCAGGTGGACCGTGGGCTCGTTTGCCATTCTTATTTTATATAAAATATTTATATAAAGGGTTATTTTGCAATATACGCCCAAAACAGAGCAGGTTCAGAATATACTTATAAAGGCTATATCACTTTTATTACCTATATTACTATAGGTATGTAATAAAAGTAATATAGCCTTATTATATGATGAGGAAATTTCTGTCCTTTTTATCTTTTAAATTCAGTTTCAATTCAGGTAATGCATTTTAACTGATTGTCGTTCATAAATATTTAACGCCTACTATTTTACTACGCACCCACACATTCCTAAGGGTAAACGGTCGACAAAAACGTTGTGAATTGAATTGCATTGTACGCGTAGTTGTTGCCCATAAATCACATTCAAATTGGGATAATTTTAAATAAAAATAGAAGCGGTATTTACTCGTATTTTGAAAAACTGCAATAATGGTATATCATTATTCATAATTTGAACTTAAATGTAAAACTTTGAGATACTTTTTAAAAAATAACCCTGTACATAATTCGTTTTTCGTTATGTACATATGTGACTGAACTCCTAAGCGGCTGGACCAATTTTGATGAAATTTTGTGTGTGTGATTAAGTTGATTTGAGAATGGTTTAGATTCACAATGGGACCCGGTAGGTGGCGCTTTTGTCGAGATCCAGAAATCACTCAAGTAATGTGTATTATTAATTTCATTATATTGTAAGTTCTTACAGTAGCTTTTATTTTCTCATATTCTGTTTTAATTGCCTGTATGATTTATTTAGTTTGTACTTTCAACATAATTTGTTCGAAAAATGTAAGGGTTTCTTTCTGAAAATTATTTATATTTTATATTAATTAGATCAGAAATGGATAAACTAAACCATGGATATTCTTAAAGTAGAAAAATTAAAAAAAGAGTTAAAAAGTGTGCATAAAATTAAAGAGCAAATCACTAAGGCATTGTTCTGTATTTATATAATCTAAAAACACTTTTATTTAAAACTTACTTCTCAATTAAATTACATTGTGTAACACATAACTTCACCTCACTCGCAACTAGCGACATCTGGTGAGTGGTAAATAAATAGCCCTCATTCCGGAAGGCCTGTCTGCATGTTGAGGTGTACCTTGTCGCCGGTGAGCACCCAGGTGCGGAGGCCGGCGCGGCGCAGTGCGGCCAGCGTGTCGGCGACGTCGTCCTGCAGGCGGTCCTCCACGGCCGTGGCGCCCGCCAGCGTGAGGCGCCGCTCCAGCGCGCGGAACTGCTGCGTCGCGCGCTGCAGCCCCGCCGCGCTCGACACGTCCGCGCCCTTTACCGCTGCGGGACGGGGGACACAGGAGGAGGTGACATAGACCTGCTTTTTTTTGTAGAAGAGGCAAACGAGCACGCAGCTCATCTGATGGTAAGTGACTTGCTGTAGCCCCACCGCTCCCCTCATCGCTGTGGGAGGGGAACAGACGTGCCGGGGGGGGATGGAGAGGAGACTTAGACCTTATTTTTTGCAAAAGTGGGGGCAAACGAGCATGCGGATCACCTTTTTTTTACAGAATAAAGCAAACAAAAGCGCACACAGTCCACCTGATGGTGAGTGGATGCTGTAGCCCATAAACATCTGGTACGCTGGTATTTTGTGAGAGCCTAATCCTTCTCCGATCGAGCCGATCCATTCGTGCTACAACTATAATTTAGCTGCAGCACGGCTCTTTTATTTTATAGGATGACAAACGAGCACACAGTCCACCTGATGGTAAGTGGTTGCTGCGGCCTATAGACATCTACATCTATCCTCTACTACAAATCAAAATGCAGATACGTTGTCACCCGTGAGGACTAAGATGGAATGCCTCATTTCCAGTAAAAAGGGCTCTACCACATAAAACCTGATATTAAGTGACTGCAACAGAAGGGAAATTACAAATGTGTTGCCGGCCTTTTAAAAAAATGTAGTCGATTTGATAAGGAAGTTGTGCGAGGAAAACACTTTTGCTTTCTATATTTCGAAAACGTCTCTTTTCCCTTACTTTTCGTACAACAGTGCAAGTGCATATTACAACTTACACACCTTTGAGTTGCCGAATATAAGTTTTTAATTGTCACAAATCCACTACTGAACAAAGGTTTCCCATAAGGTATGCCATAAAACACGGTCCTGTGCCACCTGCATCATCGACTCCCAGCAAACCTTATCTGGCCGTCACAATATCTAATGGGACCATTCTACACTTCGTTTACCGGTACAAGGCTGCAACGCGAAAACCTGACTTGCCCATTGGTTGTCAGTTGTGCGAGCTATATGATTGCCACTTTATCTTACTGATCCTTTGGGCTAAGTCAGTTACTCTGTATCATCATCACCATCAATACAGCCCATTAAAAGACCACCGTTGTACATAGACCTGCCTCATAGATTTCCTTATAGGGCGGATACATGCCATATATGTAGATCCTACACTTGGCAAGCGGGTTGGCAACCACAGTTATTAGGAAGTTGCTGCTGCCCATCTCCTGGTTTATTTCCCTTTATTGCATTTTACGACATCCAAGAGACGATATGTGGTAGTGGATATTCTTACACCGTCACTGTAAGGTTACTTTACACTATTATGGGTAGGTAATAACAATACAAATCTAACAAAATTAATTGTCAAAGCAGTTATTCAGAAATCATGAAAATATTACACAAAGTAATGATTTGCAGTTTTAAGCTTCTATTTTGCATCTCATATATTTTCCCGTAAAAATATTATGTTATTTATGTAAGACTAATTTAGACGCTATAGGTTGGTTAAGACGTTCATTGAAGTTTAAATATGTGAGTGTGAGGGTAATATGGTCATCCGGTTAAATGGTCACTGTCTTATAACTCAAAAACTACGGCCTTGTTTGCATAGATGGCTTTGTGATGATAGTCTTCATCAGTCAATAAAATAATAAAAGGTTAAAAGAGCGCCGCTTTATCGACGCCATTTTGACAGTTGTCATTATAGTAAATATTTTAGTTAAACGTAGTGATTATATTCTCTTTGATTTTAGTCGATTTTAGTATTGGGTAATGTAGTTAAGTTGATTTTTCGAAGTGTTGCAAAGGCTTATTTGCTATTTTTTTTTCTTAATATATTAGTTATAGTATACGACATTGTGTTTTTGTCTCTGTCCTCCTTCTAATTTTGGTTTTATAGGGCGGCAAAGCTTAAGGTGACCATATTAACCTCACCTACCATAGTATTAACAATGTTACACCGACACCAAGGATTAAAAAAAAGTTTTTTGGCAAAATAATCAGTTAGAAAATATTTCGAAAGACTCGCTATGAAAACGAAACGTTTTTTGTAAAGATTATATAATGTCTTCTGTGTCTATCTTTCTATCTATACATATAATAAATATGTAGAAAAATTGTGTGTGTGTGTGTGTGTGTGTGTGTGTGTGTGTGTGTGTGTGTGTGCGCGTGCGTGCGTGCGTGCGTGCGTGCGTGCGTGCGTGCGTGCGAGCGTGCGTGCGTGTGTGCGTGCGTGCGTGCGTGCGTGCGTGTGTGCGTGCGTGCGTGCGTGCGTGCGTGCGTGCGTGCGTGCTTGCGTGCGTGCGAGCGTGCGTGCGTGCGTGCTTGCGTGCGTGCGTGCGTGCGTGCGTGCGTACGTGCGTGAGTGCGTACGTGCGTGCGTGCGTGCGTGCGTGTTTGCGTGCGTGCGTGCGTGCGTGTGTGTGTGTATGCGTGCGTGCGTGCGTGCGTGTGTGTGTGTATGTGTGTGTGTGTGTGTGTGTGTGTGTGTTTGTGTGTGTGCGTGTTTGTGTGTGTTTGCGTGTGCGCGCGCGCGCGCGCGCGCGTGTGTGTGTGTGTGTGTGTGTGTGTGTGTGTGTGTGTTAAAATATAAATCATCACGACACCAACCAGAAAGGGCCGAATAATGTCTGCCGGGCCCGCTAGTATTATAATAAAACTCTAACACGACGTCTGTCTGAACACGCATCACGCAAAAACCTGTTAACCGATTTGGACGGGACTTTCACTCACAGATAGCTGATGTTATAAGGATTAACTTAGGCAGCTTTTATTTTAGAAAAGAATTAGGGTTCCACGCACAAGAAATCTCATGAAATCCAATCGCAATAAATTCCACACGGGCTAAGTCGCGGGGAACAGCTAGTCTATGATAAATATTATTTGATTCAAAGACATATGACAAATCTATGACAGTCACACAGATTAGTTTGTACCTACATGATAAGCCATATTGGACACTTTAAGCTGTCTTAGTTTTGTGGTTTGTCTCACATATTTCTATGAATCATGTCATCAATCATATGATAATGAAATAGCGACTTAGGAAATGAAAAAAATGAGGGTTTTTAAAAAATCCGATTTAAATTTGAGCAAAAGATATTTACTTATTAATCCTTTCAAAATTATGTCTATGTCATTTATGACGTCTTGTGACTCTTATTTGTCATTGTCATCATCATCATCACAGCCTATCAAAAGCCGCTGAGCATAGACCGCAGGCGAGCTGGCAACCGCATTAATTTCCCTGTCACATATTATGATACCATAACAGATAGTTTATATTCTAACACTGCAAGTAGAGGGTTATTAGTAACAATTAAAACAAAACCCAGGACCTTACATTCCATTACTGCTTCGTATTCTTCAAGTGATATTTCCCTGTATGCTACAGCTAATGTTCTTAGGCCTTTGTTGGCAAACACGTTTATATCTCGATTTGTTTCATCAACCATCACTGTGTCTTTGCAGATTGGAAAAACGGAACTCTCCGCGCCTTTACAAAACAGCCATATCTGAAAATGTACGCTTTCTCCTTAATGAAATCGACTCTCTATTAATTAGTTTTTATTTATATGTATTTATCAGATCGTTTTTCTTGACTTACCTTTCCGTCCTTATCTCTCACAATAACGGACATGCGTTTACGTTCCGATGTGAACTCAATGAGTTGCAAGCGTTCATACATTTCAGTGTGTTCCCCAACTTTAAGTATGAAATTATTTCCTTCCTCGCCGAGAAACGTCACGCCCATTCTATCTGCCGCTTCCACAAGAGCCTTTTCATCTGGGCTGCTGGCTTGGTAATCCATCTTACTTCCGTTTTCATTAATCAAAGAATTCAAAATTGAATTACTTAAAACTCCGTGACTATTAATATTCCCGCTATCATTGTCCCTGTTCAACTTTTTCCTTCTAAATAAATTCATGAGTTGCATATTCCCGGTGCCTGATAGTCGTGCGCTCAGATTCTTCATGTCTTCATTAGATATTTGCGCCGAGTGACATAAAGCAAGGATCGTAAAGAAGAATTTAATATCTGTCTGAAATAGAAAGTTGTCACTAAAGCAACTCATAAAGGAATAACCTCATCGCACGGCATAATTCCAATACAGCACGCTGTGTAGTGGCGGTGTCAGAATATACACTAACCCATATCATCCCGTGGGTGTCGTAAGATATAACAGAGGGAAACAAATCAGAAGATGGCTAACAGCGTCTTCAAAATAAAACCTATAAAAAATGGTTGCCAACCCACCAGCCAAGCGTAGAAAATATGTCAAGTAAACCCCTTGAGGCAATCTATGGGAGTTGGAGTGTTCAGCAATAAAATTTGTATGATAATGATGAAGAAACTTGTGATATTATGAATAAGATTATATAAAACACATCACAATGTTGTCATCACAACTTGTTGTAACAAGATAATGTCTCTAATCTAATAGGTATCGACGGGACAGTCTTCGTTTGACCGTCTCATTAGTCTAGTGATCGTAAGCGCGACTGCTGATCGTGAGATCCCGGGTTCGAATTCCAGGTCATTTTCAGTAGCAGCCTGGAGTCAAGAAGTTGGCGGTGTTTTTTCCCCCACGTACCTGGGAAAGCACGTAAAGCACGCTGCGCCTGATCTCTCTCTTTCTGGTCGTGTGAGATTGCCGCCCATCAGACAGTGACAGTGAGGGAATGGGAAAGGAAAGGGACCCTACATCTGTTCTGCCAGATGGCTAGTCATAAGATTTTGTGATCTTCTATTTATACCAAATGTACAAAAGATTATAAAATTAATAAACGTGTTCCTGAATCAAGGCAATATAGAAGCAGTGAGCTAGTATTATTACAGGCTATCAAGAATTCCATCTTAAGGTAACAACGCATCTGTAGCCTTCCTTTTTGCTTGAAGTTGGTTGCAGATGTCTATGGGCTGCACCATCCATACTTAGCATCATCTGGACTGTAAACTTGTTCTTCAGTTTTATTAAAAATACTTCCTTACTATGTGAGTAAGCATTCGACTTGTCATGGGGACTTAATGTCAGAGGAGATATTATACCATTTTGATGTCTGACGTCTTCCATGCTCAGTAGCGTAGACCTTTATTTTATAAATCTGTTCTACCTCTTTGTACCAGTTACTATGTAACTATACTCTTTGTATTAGTTACTATGCCTATGGCAGATTGCATTTTTGTGTTTTTAAGTTTCATTATGGCTGTGCTAATAGGGATGTAAGTTATTTGCGTTCAATTAATATAACCAGTTCTTATTTTTTATTTTTTGTAGGCAGGCTTTCAATTTACGAGATTTATGTAATGTGGTTTAACAAATATAATTATTTATTTAAAAGAATATTTTTCAATTAAATTAAAAATAAAACTGACTTCAAATGTATCCACCGGTTTGTCAAATCTTCCGGTTTCGTAAAGTCGCGAGTCTTTCTCCTCGTAAACGTGTCCATTTATAGAGCAAGCTTTAAACACCATCAAGTTTTTAGTGAGCGTGCCAGTTTTGTCCGAGAACAGCACCTCCACTTGCCCTAACTCCTCGTTGAGATCTGAGGTGTTGGCTATTGCTGGTCTTCCCGTTTCCTCGCAGCGGAGCTCCTCGTCCCAACCAATAAATAATGCACCTGACGGAAAATGTTCTATCACATACCTAGTATTATAACATACGAGTAATATATAAAGGAATCTTGCAATAGTATCTTCTGAATACGTTTTATTAGTCCTAGGACATTGATCACTAATAAAAAACTACCGAATGAGCGCTCACTCGAACATTTGGGTGTGCTTTTAGGTAATTTGTACGTAGCTTTGTGAATACAACTTTAGACAATGCATTTAAGGTTGAATTTTACATTAATGTATATTTATTTTAACTAGAATTACGTCAAAACAATTGGCGACAGTTTTACAGAACTTTTGCATGGGATTGTCTATCTAGTTTTTTTTATTAATGATCGATGTCGTAGGATTACTTTTCTGCTTTTTACAGAGTCCGAACATTATTTCACGGTTCACAAGTGTATGAGCCTTCAAAGACCTTCCTTCCTTTATCTTCCTCTCTTTACACCCGCTTGATGTAAAAGTAATGTTCTTAGTAATATTTTATGGTTTTTCCATTACATATAAAAATATACTCTCAAAATGGCAGGATGGGTGATGAAAACTAACGTTTAGTATTAGAAGTCAATCATTTTAATTCCATTTTTATTCTACGCGTAAGCATCTCAAGGTATGGTAGAATCTCATGCTTGCAGTCAAGTTACCACCTAACCATGGGTTAACCATGTCACCGGAACGTACTTATCAACAGAAATCCAGTATATTACATAAATTATAAAGATTAATTTTACGATTCTTGTTTTAATTATTACATTACTTACCTATAAACTTGTATAACTCTATGGTGACGTACAGCGACATCGGTACAATGTAGTAGTACAGCAGCAAGAAGGAGAACAAGTCTTGCAGAATACTAGTAAGGACAGCCGAGTACCTCGTCCCAGGTCCCAAGTATACGTCCAGCCCAGGGTTCTTGCCCTCTATAAGTATCTTGAGCAACATCGATATCGACATTTCTAACACCAGCAGAAATATGAACAGCACTAGAAAGCTGTTGACTGCATATTCACATGAGGAGAATTTGTTCCCTGAATACTTTGAGTTAAGTGCAAGTTTTGTTTCTTCACCTAAAATGATATCAAGGTTAATGAGTACAGTTTTCTCGGAAATAGGACAGCGGACGGACAACAGGAAAAAGCCACTGTTCTTTACACTATACCACGGGGAGTAGTAATAAAAATTATTAGTTTTAGTTTTTTAAGTGATGAAAAGAAAAAGCGACACTAAAAAGAGACAAACATATACATCTATAGGGTTTAGTCTGTGAGAGAATGAGATAAAATACATCGTACTCAAAAGGTTGTGGGTTCGAATCCGCCATTGGACTACTCTCTTTTTTTGTCTTATTTTTATTTAACAAATTTACTAAATAAATAAAATTAACAATTATCTTAATATACCAATCCATTCAAACTAATCCACGATTTAACTTCAGGCCATGTAGCGCCTTTTTTATGTACTACATTTTGAAACCCACATAAAATGACACACCTACATAAAATGACTTTACCCACAGAATGAAATAGATGGTGCTACTAAAACTAAGGATTGTAACATTTATTTATGCCGCACTTGTTGTTCATCAACATCATCATCATTACAGCCCTTCACAAGTCCACTGCTGAACATAGGCCTCCCCCAAGGAATGCCACAAAGCACGGTCCTACGCCACCTGCATCTATCGATTTCCTGCATGTCTTACCAGGTCGTCATTCCATATAGTGAGAGATCACCCTACATTCGCCTACCGGTAGGCGAGATGAGAATTTTTTTCCCCATCGGTTGTCGGTTCTTCGAGCTATATGGCCAGCCGACAGCCACTTCAGCTTACTAATCCGTTGGGCTATGTCGGTTACTCTGGTTCTATTGCGGATATCCTCATTTCTAAGTTTATCACGCAGAGAAACCCCGAGCTATAGTTAGACCTCTCCATAGCTCGCTGAGCGACCTTGCGCTTCCTCATACGGCCAGCAGTGAAGGACCACGTCTCAGTACCATAAGCCATCACTGGCAACACGCACTGGTTGTACAATCTCGTTTTCAAGTTTTGAGGTATTCCTGACGAGAAGATGTGTCGTAATTTACCGAACGTTGCCCAGTCGAGTTGAATACGTCGATTGATCTCTTGGTCGAAGTTGGAAGTACCTAGTCAGACTATTTGTCCCAGGTAAACGTACTCATCAACAACTTTGAGCTTAGTCCGAGCTTTGACCTATCCCTTGGTAGACACTATTGAGGTCATTGAGCATAGTGCTTAGATCCTCCATCGATTCTACCATAAAGACTATATCGTCGGCATATCGAAGGTATGTCCTTTCCAGTTCACTAGCTTGAAAACGTCGCCAATGCAGCGGTAAAGAGTTTCGGGGATGTAACGTCACCCTGTCTTACACCTCTCCGCAGTTGGATAGGTTTCGTACTCTGGTTCTGTACTCGGATAGCCATCTTAGCCCTACTGTACAAACACTTCAGCACTTCGATATACTTCAACTTGGCATCGCTGAAGAGACTGCAACACCGCCCAAATTTCGACTCAATTGAAGGCTTTCTCATAGTCCACATACGCCAGACATAGTGGCAAATTGTACTCCTCGGACTTCTGTACAATTTGTTGAAGGGTATGTATATGGTCTATGATGCCAAAGCCTTTTCGGAAACTGGCTTGTTCGGTAGGCTGAAAGTCGTCAAGTCTGCGTGCGAGACGATTCGTAATGACTCTCAAAAATAACACGTAGACGTGGCTCCGAAGAGAAATTGGTCTGTAGTTCTTCAAGAGAGCATCGTCGCTTTTTTTGAAGAACAAGACCACCGCACTTCTGCTCCACGCCTCCGGAGTTGTGCCACCATGGAGGATGGAATTAAAGAGCTTCTGAAGGACTTCCTGACTGGAAGAAAGTGTTTATCATAAAGAGTCCCTCTTTCTCCATGAAGTCGGCAAGCTACTGGCCCCTTGGGTTCCGTTGCCCTATTCCGAATTTCCCTACACTCAGCTCGCCGTTTTCTCTTATGCCTAGTTTTGTGTTGAAGTCTCCCATTAACACCGTATACATGGCTTTAGAGATATCCTCATACATTTCTTCCACCCCCTCATCGGGATGTGCCAAGGTTGGTGCGTAAACCTGTATGACCTTCAGCGAATGCCGTTTGGTGATTCTGAGTATAAGGTACGCAACCCTCGTCGACACAATCTTAATCTTTACAACGTTGTTAACGAGAGACTTGTGGACGATAAATCTGACACCTCCTTGGGGTAGATGGTCAACCTCCCAGTGATAGAATAAGTTGCCGGATTCGAGGATTACTGTGTCCTCCCCCTCTTTTCGGACCTCAGATAGTCCTATAATATCCCAGAGCAACTTGTCTATCTCTTCTTCCAGCTCCAGGATTTTTTCGTCAGTCCTCAGGGTGCGTGCGTTATATGTTGCCACGTCGAGTCATCTTAGGTGGCAACTGAACCTCCACCAGAGATTCTTAGCACCCCCTGCCCCGCCGTTACCATGGTCGCCACAGTATCCAGGAAAAGGAGGGCCGCCGGGGACTGGGGCCGTCTTTTTGTAACTTTCTTCATGGGGGGTGTATTGCCATAGTTGCCACGCTTGACAAGCTGGCAACTATGGCAAAGTGCTGCGGCCCATCTTCTGTCCTAGTTTCCCTCTGTCGCCTCTTACGATACCCACTTGTGGTTGAAAATGCTCATAATAAAGTAATCATTTGCCGTGAAATATATTTTATGTTTTCACTTCTATCACGTGTGAACTGCACACATGTTTTTTTTATTATGATAATAAATATTGTATTTTAGTGATGATATGAGGTGACAAGTAAATTTTCATTCTTCAAGCAGGAACAAATACACAAAGCATTATTAAAACAGGTCAATAAATTATAAATCTGATAAAATTGACAATTGTCGTGCAAATAACATTATTTCGATACATATCGAATTCGATATGATTGTATCGAAATAATATTATTTGCAAGCACAAATTGCGAATCGCTGTAAATTTGTTTTTTTTTTTAACTTTAACATAAGTTTGACTAACCATGTGAATGCTGGCGTTGTAAGAGATTATTGTTTTTTGTATTTGGCTGTCATAAGAAAAGTATGGAAAAAAACTAGGTGAGAGGGCTTTTTGTCGTCCTAGGAGTCTGGGACTTGGTCGCTACCACGTTATTATTTATTATTATTATTTACTCATAGAATAAGAGTGACAAACGGACATATGGTCCACCTGATGGTAAGTGAATGCTGGCCTATAGACCTACACCTATCCTCAATTAAGAATCAAAATTCAGAATGCGTTTCCACCCCTGAGGATTATTCACTTCTATTTTTATTATTGTTATTATTCTATTCCATCGACTACCACCAGTAATTTTTTCTGACCGATACGACTTAGGAACCTTCAAGAAAAGAGCTTACTCTTTTTTAAAAGGCCGGCAACGCACCTGCAATTCCCCTAGTGTTGCAGTTGTTCATGGGCAGCGGTAGTCACTTACCATCAGGTGAGCTGCATGCTCGTTTGCCCCTTCTCATATAAAAAAAATCTATAAAGAAAAATATACAGGGTTATTTTTCAAACAGTAGTTGGCTACTATCTTAAACTTAAGTTCAAATATATAAATAATGATATACCGTTATTGCAGTTTATGAAAATAGGCGTAAATAAAGCTTCTACTTTTATTTGAAATTATCCTAAATTGAATGTAATTAATGGGCAACAATTACGCGTACGCGCGCTACTCTGTGTGCGATTCAATTCACAACATTTTTGTCGATCGATCGACCCTTATGGTGGCCACTCACGGTCAGTTAAACTGAACAGTTTAACTGATGTACATCCAAAAACTGACCGTGAATGCGAAATCTTAAGTTGAAATTTTTAACTGAAGGCAACACACGGATTTTTTCGGGCGTGCTGTCAGTTAAACTGCTCAGTCGAACTGACGTACATCCAAAAACTGATCGTGAATGTGAAATCTTAAGTTAAAATTTTTAACTGACGGCAACCCACATGTTTTTCCGGGTGCACCGTAATCCGCTGGCTTCAGTTCGTTTCCATTATTGGTAAGTATATACTTTCTTAGCAGCTACTTACATTATTTGTATGCTGTTTAGATTTTATATTATTTTACATATTTAGAGAAGTTGTTTTGACGGAGAATGGAGACCAAGGTGATTGTAATGATGTCGCCTTCCTTATGGTGGACTCAGAAGGTGGGTAAATGATCTCAGTGATGCTACTACGTAGAAATATCGTGTTTGGACTCATTTTCAAATAGGTAAATGGAGACCTAGATGATTGTGATGATATCACCTTTATGTTGGTGCAATCCGAAGGTGGTATAGGATCTCAGTGATAACACTAGATAGAATGACCGCGTTTGAACTCATTTGAATGGGCTCATAAAGACCTAGGTGACTTTTATAACCTCACCTCTCTGATGGTGCAATCCGAAGGTGGGTATAGGATCTCAGTGACGGCACTAGATAGAACGATCGTGTTTGAACACATTTGAAAGGGCTTATAAAGACCTAGGTGACTTTTATAACCTCACCTCTTTGATGGTGCAATCCGAAGGTGGACGGCACTAAGTAGAATGATCGTGTTTGAACTCATTTGAAAAGTGTTTATAAAGACCTAGTTCAATGTGATTCTAATACCTTCATGATGGTGAACTAAGAAGGTGGGGCAAAAGATAAAAATAAATAATACATTTATTAAAAAAAAATTTACCATAATGAATAAAATTATCATAATATCTGACCCATTTCTTAATACTGACCTTATCATGAATAAAAATATCTTTTGAAGTGTTAATATATATATATATATATATATATATATATATATATATATATATATATATATATATATATGGCGCAGTGGCTTAGCAATGAGTTGCTGCTCTGGGGGGCGCGGGTTCGAATCCCGCACGGAACAAGTAATTGTATGGCCTACAAATAATTGTTCCGGGTCTGGATGTTTGTCCTTGTGCAATTTGTGTTTGTAAACTGCCTCTACGATACAGCTGAAAATCCTAGTGTGGGGGTAACGTTTTTTTTTTAAAATAGATAAATAAAAAAAAGATAAAAAGTAGTATATCTCTGCGATATTAAAATCACTATAATCTATTAAACTTAGTACTACTTTACTTAGTGTGAGTTTTGGCAGGAGCTTGATCATCGACGGATAGTTGCTCCTGTTTTATCGTTTAAATAATCGTTTGAAGTGGATTTTTATCAAAGTGATGCGATTATGTGTATTAAGTGTCTGCGCATGTAAGCTGTTAGAGAAAACGACGAAATAAGTGCTTCGATGTTGGTATAAGCCTCAAGTTATTTTAATCGCTTAGGCGTCTTATGATTTACTTCCGTGCTATCAGAAATAGCTGTTAAATATTTTATTTCTTCAGCTGCATCCGTAGCATCTGAATGAATTATTTCTATAATCAATCTTTTAGTGCCTAATAATCGCAGTATTGAAACAGCTGAACATATAAAACAACGATTATTTTTGAAAACTCTTACTGAAAAATATTGGTAAACATAATTGTCTTATTTAAATTAAACAATAATTACTAAGAACTAGTTACTAAGAACTTTGAGCCGTGTAACTCAGATGGCGCCCGCTGTAAATTTGACAGTACGTGAGCAACCCGAGTTCGATCCTCGCTGGAACCAATGAATTGCAATTTTAAGTGCTGATTTACCGCGTACTCAGGGGTGAAGAAAAACATCGTGAGGAAACCTGCATAGCTGAGAAATAAGAAAAAAATATTTCGAAGACATGTGAAGGTCGCCAACACGCATCGGGGCAGCGCGGTGGACACTTCCTTGCCCTAAAACCCTCTTAGAAATGAGGGGAGGCCTGTGCCCAGCAATGGGTCTTATGTAGGCTGTAACTTTAACTAAGAACTATAATATAACATTTTAATACAGTTATAATTTAATTTGCTTAATAAATATAATAAACGTACTAAAGTAAATGACTTACGATTGTTTTTTTTTAAACAAAGTCGATATGTCGATATTTTTTTCGATATATTGGAAATCCGATATTTTAAAAATATAAACAGCCCTAGTTTGAACTGATCAGTTGGAATGATCAGTTGAACTGATCGTGTGTGTCGAAACTTTTTTGGATTAAATCCGTTTGAAGTCATCAGTTGAACTGATGTCAGTTTAACTGACCGTGAGTGGGGACCATTACAAATGTGTGCGTGCGTAGTAAAATAGTAGGCGTTAGATTTTTAATGAATGACGATCAGTTAAAATAATGCATTACTAAGCATTCTGAATTTAAAGGACAAAAAAAAGGACCGAATGTTTGAGATTTTTTTAAATTAATTTTTCTTCACCATTTGCCTATATTACTTATTCCGAATCTTTTCTGCAAATTTGGCCGGTTATTGCAGAATAACGCTGTATAAAATATCCAGGACAGCGATGGAAATTAGCATCAAATATATTTAATAATGAGATGAGATAGTCAATCTGCTTGCTAGCGAGGTTTTTGCGACAAAGCTGTTCTAGTAATTGAAGCGACAGGGTGTTTATGGTTTAGGATCCTTTTAGTATTTGGAGGCTATGAAGAAGAAAAGAAATTTCTGACGTTAATCAGCACTTAATTATTTAAATACTTGAACATCTATGTATAAACATATCATTCGAAAGATAATACTTATGTGTACAAAAAAAGAAAAGCACGTGTAGGTTTATGTTGCCTATATGGCAGGTAAAACAAAGTGAACATACACTCATGATTTTTTATAGATCATAATTTTTATGATCTGTGGTTTTAACCAATCACGTTAATGGATGTATGAGTTAAGATCCTTTTGCCTTCCCTGCTCGATAAAATAAAATAATACAAAATAGTTATACGATATATACACTTGTTATTTCCAAGCAATTAGTCTAATTTCGACCTTAGGATATATATTATACAACATAATAAAAAAAATATGACAGCAAAATAGTCTTTACCTGTATACACGGCGCATCCTATTGCCCATTCAGTATTTTTTACTCTGGAACCTCTAAGCATGATATTGTCAGTGCTAAGGGCCAGGCTATTTTGTCCTGGTATTTCCAAACGTCCATAAAAAGTATACAAATCAGCCACCGGGTGCGGTACTTCTATTCGCATGCCTTGGGGTAGAATATCTATAAAATAAATAATTTATAAAATTAGAAAAATTTGATCGATTTTGAATTATTGTATCTGGTCAAACCAAATTAAAGTAGTTCTCGTTGAGATTTAGAAGAGACAACTGTAGGTGTAGATATACGTTCAATAAAAAAAATTTACTAATATCGAAGTTATAGTAATACTGCATAAAATTACATTCAAATATAGCCGAATTGTGTAGAGTAAGTTGCCGGTTAGAAAAAAATATATTTTTGAGGTCACACACAAAGCTACTCACACGCATTTATAGCAAAGCAAGCAAGTTATAGCGAGCCGTGGTAGCTCAAAGACTAAGCGCATGCTATAAATATGGTTGATCCCCGTCGGCAACAATGAAATTGTTATTTGCAATTTTAAGTGCAGATAACCACGTGCTCATCGGTGAAGTGAAATATCGTGAGGTAACCTAAATGTCTAAGAAATGTATTAATTCGAGTACACGTGAAGTCCGCCAACACGCAAAGGAGTAGCGGGGCGGTCTAATAGCTCCATAACTTTTTCTTATCGGTAGAAATTAGAAATGAGTGGAGGTCTATGACAATTAATACGTCGTTTAAGGGTTATATCAATACAACTTACTATTTTATAGTCGTTAAGAATCGTTGTAGGCTAAATACGCTAATATCCTTAAATCGATACCTAGATGCCGATTGATTTTATAAATTGACCATATGAAGTTTTTTTTTTATTTTTCTGCAGTGTGGTAGCGCAGTGCAGTAGCTCTACCACTTTAAGCCGTAGGGCGATTATAGTAGTGAACTTTTTTTTGTTCTTTAAAAACTGCTTGGTGTGAGGTGAAATTTTTGTTGTTTTTATGGTTTGTTACCTGGTGAATAACCGACCAAAGGCGGTGGCACCCGGAGAGTCTTCAAATTGGTCTCGCCGTCTAGGTTTGCTGTAGTTACAAAGCATTTGGCGCCCTCGCCCGACGAGCACAACAGCACTATGTCGGCCGGCACTTCTTTTCCTCGCTTCACACGCACCAACGTGCCTGGCGCAATAGTGGAGTTGCGGACTTCCTTAACCACGCCTTTATGAACAGTCTCAACTGTAGAACAGAACATTTTTATTTACAACTAGCAGTTCCCCGCGACTTAGCCCGCGTGGAACTTGGATTTCATGAGTTTTAATTTTTTTTGCGCGGAACCCTAATTCTTTTTGTGAAACAAAAGTAGCCTAAGTTACTCCTTATATCATCAGCTATCTGCCAGTGAAAGTCCCGTCAAAATCGGTCCAGCCGTTTCGGAGATTAGCCGGAACAAACAGACAGACAAAAATTTAAAAAATTGTGTTTTTATTTATTTTATTTTTTATTTTAAAGGATAGGGTGACAAACGAGCACACAGTTCACCTGATGGTAAGTGGTTGCTGTGTCCCATAGACATCTACATCTATCCTCAATAAAGAATCAAAATGCAGATGCGTTGTCACCTGTGAGGACTAAGATGGAATGCTTCTTTTCCAGTAAAAAGGGTCTCCGGTTCTCTACACTCACCATACGAAATACAGCAGTGTTAAGTTGCTATTTTACGCTGGTATTCTGTGAGAGCGTGGTCCTTCCCCGGTCGAGCCGACCAATTCGTGCTACAACTATACGACCAATATAGCTGCAGCATGGCTCTACCACGTATAAAAACGTGTTTTTGTTATTACCACTTTATAGTATATAATTTCAAAACAATTCATATGCATTTAGTAAAAAGCTGTTATTTTAACATTACAAACAGACATTTCAATTTTATTTATTTGTATAGATTGGATTGTATGTGACACGTAGAGGCCTAGAGGCTAGGCTACATGAGTAGACTATGCCTCGTAGGAATGAGTCTTTGTCTTAAAACTTAATTCTTACAAAAAAAATATAATTATTAAAGTATATTTAGTTATTTACAGTACACTTTATAGGAATAAAGGGCTGATTTTTGGTTGAATTAAACAAACACTCAGATATTCGATTATTACAAATACTCAGATATTATTTACACCTGATAGTGATTCTTTATCAGAATCAAACAGTTCACGTGATATATTTATTTCTACGATAAATTTCACTGTGGTATTGGTAAAAAGAGAGCTTAGAAATTAGATGTTTGCAAGAGACCTGGACCGGATGGAATTCCAGTTCCATCTTTTTTCCTTAAGTATGTATACAGCGGGTACAATCTGTGTTCCTTACTGTATTCTTTACAATAAGTGCATTTAAGATGGTGTCTTTCCCGCTATTAGAAAAACCGCCAATATTACGCCTATTCATAAGGAGGCGTCCAAGAACGTCGTCCAATGTCAATACTGTCCGTATTGTCAAAGGTATTTGAGAGACTAGAACGTAACGTTATTTGTCCTGCTCTTCGTAATATTAAAATCATACCCGAACAACACGGATTTGTTAAAAAACGATCCACAGTAAGTAATCTTCTTGTTTATACTACATACTTAGGTATTTGAACCTATGGATAAGGGGATACAGGTCGATACTGTGTATACTGACTTCCGTAAGGCCTGTGATAAAGTAAATCACTGTATATTATTCAAGATAATCGCTTACATAACAGATAGAACTCAGAGTGTTGTCGTTAACGGCCATTCATCTAACTTAATTACCGTCAGATCCGATGTACCACAATTCTCTACTCGCGATCCTTTACTGTTATTGTACATCAATAATTGCTTTCGTCATAGACTTACTCCTTATATTAATTTTTCTTACTTTACGCTGACGACTTAAAAGTATATCTGTCAATACTTATCCCTAATGACAACTTTAACTCACAAAATAATCTTAATCGCTTATCGTTGTGCTGTACTAAAAACAAAGGACAGCTTAGTGTTAATAAGCGTAGATCAATAAAATTTACAAGGAAACGCAATTTTATAAAATACCTAGTTAGGTCATAAGTATTGTCACACTGTAAAAACTTTTCTTTTAGAATGCTGGCCACAAAAAAGTTTATTGAATTCGAATTTCGAATTGGTCATGAAAATAAAACTGTATACTTTTTAGAATTTTACTCATTTTTAAATATGGAGTGGACGCTTAAAGAAGACCGTGTTGCAGTTATTGCGTTGCATCGTTGCGGTTACGCGCCAATTCAAATTTTTGACATACTGAAAAATTTGAATATAACCAAGAGATTCGTTTATCGTACCATCAAACGATACAATGAAGACTCTAGTGTAGATGACAGGTCAAGAAGTGGTCGCCCTCGGTCTGTTAGGACTCCAGCAGTGATAAAAGCTGTGAAGGCGCGAATTCAAAGAAATCCCTAACGTAAGCAGAAACTGTTGGCCCTTCAGATCGGGTTAAGCAGAACCACGGTGAAAAGGGTGTTAAATGAAGACTTAAGGCTTCGGGCATATCGAAGAAAAACAGGACATCGTTTGAATGCTCGTCTAATGGACCTGAGACTGAAGAGATGCCACGCTTTGTTGAAATGGTACGCGGGAAAACAATATCGGGAAATTCTTTTTTCGGATGAAAAAATTTTTACCGTAGAAGAGAGCTACAACAAAAAAATGATAAGGTGTACGCACACAGTAGTGAAGAAGCGAGCAACCGTATTCCGCGTGTCTAACGAGGTCATTTTCCATCCTCGCTCATGGTATGGTTGGGAGTTTCTTATTGGGGCTTAACAGAGGTACATTTTTGTGAGAAAGGTGTAAAAACGAATGCAGTTGTGTATCAGAATACAGTCCTGTCGAACCTTGTGGAACCTGTTTCTCATACCATGTTCAATAACAGGCACTGGGTATTCCAACAAGATTCGGCGCCAGCTCATAGAGCGAAGAGCACACAAGACTGACTGGCGGCGCGTGAAATCGATTTCATCCGGCACGAAGACTGGCCCTCCTCCAGTCCAGATTTGAATCCGTTAGATTACAAGATATGGCAACACTTGGAGGAAAAGGCGTGCTCAAAGCCTCATCCCAATTTGGAGTCACTCAAGACATCCTTGATTAAGGCAGCCGCCGATATTGACATGGACCTCGTTCGTGCTGCGATAGACGACTGGCCGCGCAGATTGAAGGCCTGTATTCAAGATCACGGAGGTCATTTTGAATAAACTTTAGTGTCATAAGAATCTATGTTTGGTATACCAAAATGAACTTAACAAAACATAGATTTTTTCATTATGTAACCATTTATATATAAATGGTTACATAATGAATAAACTTGTTTCAATTATTTTATATTAAACATGTGACAGAATTTATGTCCTGACTAGGTATATTTATACTATTAACAACACTGAATTATGCAAAGTGGACCTAATTAAAGATCTAAGAATTATACCAGGTCTAAAATTTGATATGAGCAATCATATTAATTATATTACCAACTAGCAATCCACCCCAATTTCGCACGGTTAATTTCTGCACCTTGATAATAACGCCACCTACCGGGTCCAATTGTGAGTTTAAACCATTTTCTAATCAATTTAATCACAAACACACACAAAATTTCATCAAAATCGGTCCAGCTATTCCGAGAAGTTGAGTCACATATACACGGACAGAAGAATTATGTAATATATAATATGCATGTATACCTTCTGTAAACCTTCTTCTAGAATCATTCTGTCTTTTTTTATAGAAGAGGGAAATACAGGGCAAACGAGCATGCGGCTCACCTGATGGTAAGTGACTACTGCCGCCCATGAACAACTGCCATACCAGAGGAATTGCAGATGCGTTGCCGACCTTTTGAAAAGGAGTAGACTTTTTTCTTGAAGGTCCCTAAGTCGTATCGGTCCAGAAAAATCGCAGGTGGTAATCGATTCCACAAGGAAGTTGTGTGAGGAAGAAAACTTCTTCCGCTAATCATCTAGATGATATGGATGGTATCGTGAGTTTTGTTGCGATGTGCAATGGTGAAATTGAGCGGCTGGAATTAGTCCGAACAATTCCTCAGAGCACTCCCCGTGGTACATGCGATAAAATACGCAAAGAGATGCAACATCTCTACGAAGTGCCAGTGAGTCAAGCCGATCGGAAAGAACTTGGTCGTCGACGATTCGAACTGCTCTGCGCTGGATGCGGTCAAGTGGAAGGAGCTTGCACTGGGCTTGCCCAGAGATGGGAACAGTATTCCATGTGAGCCCAAACCTGCGCCTTGTACTTGCCTGGCTTCCTGGTACTGGTATTGGCAACCGTAAGTAGAGTGAAATACATCCGCTGCCTCAGAGGCGGCCATTTTTTTAATTTTTGTGTTGCTTCTTGCATTAGACAACATAGGTGTTCATTTTAGGTACACATCTGTGCTTGTGTTAGCATAGTTAACAAGATGGCATCGATTACGATCGATGATCCATCGACTTTCTAAGTCGCATCTGCGCGACATATCTGGCTGGCCCCCTGCTGACGCTTGTGCGGATTGACGACTCGATGGCACCACGCATTGGACCTACAACACCCGTATCCATCGACATTCTCTACGATGCCGTGTCCCCTGCGCCTTCCCGCGGCCCGTCTCCCATCTTCTCGGATGCCGAATATGGCTCCGACATGGAGACCGAAACGCGCGTTTCGCTCAAGCCCGAAGACGAATGCTTCACCCTCGCCCAGGCCAAAAAGCGTAAATACGCAGCCCCATAAAAGGCAGCTGAGCCTAACTCGGCCCCCTCATCCCCCACCGCCAATCCGACAAATAAGCCTGCCCTCGCGGCCCGCGCTCTGGCCCCTAAGCCTGCGGCCAAGCCCGCAGCAAATGGGCCCCCTGCTGAACGTAGGGAAAAGCCGCCGCCACCCATCATAATTCAAGATAAAAAAATATACTGCCAAAAGGTGCAAACCACCGATCAGGGCATTCGCATGTTTGTTAACTTGACCGAGGAATTCCGCAGTGTAACAAATCACCTGCGCGCCCAGCAAGTATGCTTCCACACATACGCTCTCCCAGAGCCAGGAGCGTAACCTTCGTTCGTAAAGAGCTTGAGACTGAGCACATTTTAAACGACCTCAAAGCCCAAAATCTCCCGGTCCGGTAGATGTACAGGATGCACTACCAGACCGATAAAAAGCGCTTCTTAGATCTGTGCCTTGTCATTCTGG